GAAATTAGGAAATTGGAAAATTGGAAAATTGGAAAATTGGAAAATTGGAAAATTGGAAAATTAGGAAATTGGGAAATTTGGAAATTGGGAGATTTGTAAACTAGGAAATTTGGAAGTTAAGAGATTGGAAAATTGGGAGGTTGGGAAATTGAGAAATTGGGAAATTGGGAAATTGGGAAATTGGGAAATTGGGAAATTAGGAAATTGGGAGATTTGGAAACTAGGAAATTTGGAAATTAAGAGATTGGAAAATTGGAAAATTTGAAAAATTGAAAAATTGAAAAACTAAAAAATTGAAAAATTGAAAAATTTTTAAATATGAAAACCGCACCATAAATTAAAAATGTAAAAAATTTGCTAATTTAGCAACACATGCGTATATACATGTAAACGCAATTTAAAATAAAGCTTCTTGTAATTTTATGATCTTGACAGGAACTGATAACCGCGAGTAATTATGGTATATTAAAATCGGAATTTTAATGGACACGAACAGGATTTACTAGACCCAGAGGGGTGCAACACGAGCAATTACAAGCATAGTGCGTTCATTTTAATTATTAGTGAACTTGGTGGACAGTAATTTGGAAGCACGCCAAAAGGCACTTGTCAAAAGTTGTAGCCTAGAAATCAATTTACCAAAATAATAATTAATAATAAATACCGGGTAGGCAATCAACTCACCATTAAACATATTTCGTGGTTTTTACAAAATGAATGAAAAATATCTATTTATGAAAATTGTGAAGTACATACAAATATTTGATGAAATATTAAAATACTACCTTTAAAAATATTGTTGGAATTTTTTATTTCTGATCAATTTTGTGGAAAGCAAAAAGTATTGCAAGGAATAAAAACGTACCCCTTTTATCAAAGGAACAGATGCATGATCTAATATTACTTCTAATTTTGTAAGTTTTAATAATTATCTATTATGTTACAGTTACATAAAAAATTGTAATGTAATTTTTTTATTTAAAAAAAAAAAGTATCCATTTACCATAGCAGTGTTACACGAACATAATTTCTTGTTTCATATCGCAGTTCAGTATCGATTAACAAAAATTTTCTACATAGTCTAGTATACATGAATTCGTGATACTTTTAAGTGTATCCTACACTTCGCTAAATATCTTAAGGTTGTTTATAGCGGCGCATTATACGGCAACAAAAATTGTAGCAGCAGCATATGGTAGTACACTTGTTCGTATTAATAATCAGGATATTGATGATTGCCGTTAAACAATAGACTACAAATTACGCGCGTATTGCAATGCAGCTTGCCTAAAATTGGGTCTCTGGCCAATTGCCATCCTCGGAGCTGGGTTTAAAAAGGCGAAAGGAAAAAATGGTGGGAAGGTAATCTAATTCTTTGCCTATTTACCACCTATTACAGCCAAGGATTACAACTTTGTAGTTGCTTAATTAATTCACCGCTATTTAGAAAATCGGCGTTACATGAGCAGTTTACACGCTGCTCTTTCGCGCTAAATATTCATTACATTTATGGTAATATACGTTTTCTTTAGTATTTAATTTTTGAATTATTGAGAACTGTGTTAGCAGTGTCTCGTTTTATTGCCACGTTCGGAGGTATTTTTATAGAGATTATAGATGACTCTGCAGTTATTGTTTGTTGGAAAATTCATGCGTGGTGATAGAATGGAAGTGGGGCATATGGCGATATAATGAGACGTGATACAAAACGTGATATTATTAGTAATAGAACTCGTGGCGATATAACAAATGGTGACATAATTGCTAGTGATCGAGTGTGTGTTAAATACAATGTGTGAAACGTGGGACGTGTGGTAATATGACGAACGGCGATATAACGCGAGGTAACAGAATGCATGGTAAAATCACTCGTGGTTGTCGGACGCGTACTGAATTCAACGTATGGAATATTGAATGCGCAGAAATACAACGCATGGCGATATAACGAGTGGCGATATAACGCGAGGTAACAGAATGCGTTGCAAAATCACTCCTAGTGATCGAACGCGTACTAAATTCAACGCATGGAATATGAGACGCGTGGAAATATAACGCATGGCGATATAACAAATGGCATTATAACGAATGGCGATATAAGACGAGGTGACAGAATGCGTGGTAAAATCACTCGTGGTGATCAAATGTATACTAAATTTAACGCATGAAATATGGAATAAGTGGAAATATAACGCATGGCGATATAACAAATGGCATTATAACGAATGGCGATATAAGACGAGGTGACAGAATGCGTGGTAAAATCACTCGTGGTGATCAAATGTATACTAAATTTAACGCATGAAATATGGAATAAGTGGAAATATAACGCATGGCGATATAACAAATGGCAATGTAACGAATGGCGATATAACGCGAGGTGACAGAATGCGTGGTAAAATCACTCGTGGTGATCGAACGCATACTAAATTTAACGCATGAAATATGGAATGCGTGGAAATATAACGCATGGCGATATAACAAATGGCGATATAACGCAAGGTGTCAGAATGCGTGGTAAAATCACTCGTGTTAATCAAATCCATATTAAATCCAACGCATGGAATATCGAATGCGTACAAATATAACGTATGGCAATATAATGCGTGGCAATATAATACGACATAACTATTCTTGTGATTGTCGCTAAAAAAAAAGTACAACAGAATTTAATTTCTTGTTAATTTTCTCTTTAAGTATAAAATCAAAATGAAATTGTCAACATTTTATTGTAGATGATTTTAACCATTTTATTTCATTTAAATTTTTGTTCGTGTATCATATAGAAAATGTTTGTTTTTACGAAACATTGATCACGAAACATAATAAATAAATTTCTATAGTTTGCGTCGATCGCATGGAGGATTTCTTGTGTACATTAATACTGTTCCTACTCTTTTTCGATCGCAGCACAATTGAATTCCAATAAGCAAGCAATTGCCAGTGATCGTTGTTCGAAATAAAAACTTTCTTCTGCCTCTACGTCAATCCTTCAGCCAATTATCCTTTTAACCAATGGTTTTACTCTAAATTCATTAAATTCATTCCACAAACCAGAATCCCAAAGAGAATCGAACGGACCTCGGCCAACCATTGAACATTAATTAATCCTTCGTCGCATTGTGTTGCAAATATGTTATACATAAAACGATGCCCCATGAAATTTTCGTATTTTGTTGATCGTACGTGAATTATAGATTTCGTTGATTAATAAATTTGATGAAAGCATTTTTTATTTTTATACTAATTTTTTTTTAACTCGTAATTTTCTTAGATTCACAAACTTTCAACCTTCTCTATTTCCCAATTTTTCAATTTTCCAGTTTCCCAATTTCCCAGTTTCCCAATTTCCTAATTTCCCAATTCCCAAATTTCTCAATTTCCAAATCTCCCAATTTCTTAATTTCCCAATTTCCTAATTTCCCAAGTTCTCAATTTTCCAATTTCTCAAATTCCAAATGGCCCAATTTCCTAATTTTCCCATTTTCCCAATTTCCAATTTCCCAGTTTTCCAATTTTCCAAATCCTCTATTTCCAGATTTCTCAATTTCCCCATTTTCAAATTTTCTAATTTCCAAATTTCCCAATTTTCCCATTTTCCAATTTCTCAATTTCCCAACTTCCAAATTTTCCAATTTCCAAATTATCCCATTTCCAAATTTTCCAATTGCCAAATTTTCCATTTTTCCAATTTTCCAATTTCCAAACTTTCCAACCCCTCAAAAATTAAAATTTACTTAAATCTATTTTTAAATTCAAACAATTTCCAAATTTGTAACTATAAAAACTTCAAAAAATGTTGCAACTTGACGTGAACTCAAAAAGATTGCCATTGTAATTGGCAACTATTTCGATTCTACTTTATAGACGCACTCCACCGATGTACGAGAGATGGTTTGTATTTGGAAAACAAAGCATCAGTTCGTTATTTTGTCACATTTTTCACAATGACAACAGTGACAGCGAGCTGAATGTACCTGCTAGAGGCAAAATCGAAAAGCACTGTGTCATGCCTCATCGCATCCTCCAAAACCGAGGCAATTTTTCCTCTCCTCGCACTATACTTATCTGTATTCCAATAAAATCACTATTTCGAGAACAAACGTTTGAAAAATGGGACAATTGATCAAAAGAAAGATGGTTGACAATTATTAACAAATTACAATTTCCATATATTTTCACATTTTTAAGGTTTGTAAATTTCCAAATCTGTGTATCTGTAAAATTTCTAAATTTCTAAATTTTTAAATGTGTAAGTTTAGTAATACACTGAGTTTACAGATTTTTAAATTTGCAAAATTGTAGTTGCTTAAATATTTCAATTTACAAGCTTATTATTTATCAGATCTTTAAATTTCTAAGGTCATGAGTTTCCATATCTATCAATTTTTAAATCTCTAATTTTCCAAATTTCTAGCTTCCTAAATTTCCAAATTTCTCCATTTTCCCATTTCCCAATTTTTCAAATTTTCCAAATTTCCCAATTTTCCAATTTCCTAATTTCCTAATTTCCTAGTTTTCTAATTACCTAATTTCCCAATTTCTCAATTTCTTATTTTCTGAATCTCTAAATCTCCAAATTGCTAATTTCCTAAATCCCCAATTTCCCATGCTTCTAATTTTCCAAACCTCTAATTTCCCAAATCCCTAATTTCCTAAACCTCCAATTTCCCAAATTTCTCAATTTCCAAATCTTTAATTTTCCAATTCTCTAATTTTCCAAATCCCTAATTTCCTAAATCCCTAATTTTCCAAATCCCTAGTTTTCCAAATCCCTAATTCCCCAAATCCCTAATTTCCCAACCCCTTAATTTCCCAAATCCCTAATTTCCCAGATCTCTAATTCCCCAAACCTCCAATTTCCCAAAACCCCTAATTTCACAAATCCCTAATTTCCCAAACCTCCAATTTCCCAAAACCCCTAATTTCCCAAATCCCTAAACTCCCAAATCCCCAACCCCCAAACTTCCAAATTTCCCAACATCCCCCTAAAAAAAATTCCCACCCCCAACATCAAAATCTACCTTTCCCACTTCCCGTCCACCTAAACATAACTTAAATCGCTCATAAATTTTGTACAGCCACCTCCAAAGATACTACACCTCAGATAACTCCACTACCAAACTCCTCGACGAATTTTCGCCCATTTTAGAAGGAATTTTACGATTTGGCGAAGGATCCTCGAGAGGTTTCGTTATCGAAACCATTTGTAGACGTGACTCTGGTCCGTGTAGGTTTCGAGACCTCTGTATGACATTTTTGTGAACCGATGCTCTCGTTTACTGGCTTCCGTCAATCAAACCACAACTTACCTACCACCTTCGACGAGGATTTCATGGGTTTCGGTGCACGTCGGTTAACTTGATTTATAAGTGGTATAAACTGGCGATCAGCTAGCTTCGAGTACTATATGATGGCGATCACATATTTATGCCAATTATGAAAATTCTTTAAAACCATTACTAATTAATAAGCTTTACTAAATCGATAAATAATTTCATTATTGTGCTTATTAAGTAGTTGAGCAGCTAGGTAGTTTAATTTTAAATAAGTACTCATAATAATGAGTTCAAGTATTTAAGCAGTTAAGCATTATTAGTTAGAATAATTATGGATAAGAGAAACATCTAACAGAACCTGACTAATTATCTCATTGTGAAGTAATTCATTATGAACTTATGAAATATGTTAATATTGGTCAGCATATTGAATTGAGGTTAGGAATATTTTTAAAAGATTCATCAAAAAAATTTGAAAAGAAAATTTAATATAAGACAGCTTCTAATATCTAAATCCACTATTTCTACTTTTAATGATTTTTAAACTTAATAATATAATAATTGGAATATTATAGTTCATGCAACCCCTAACATTCGAATATCTTTGCCAGAAAACTGTTGGCAAGACTCGAACGATAATCTCATTCGACATTGCAGCGTTCGATTGAAGTGGACCGATAGGATCTGATAAATCAGCAAGCATTCGAAGACAAGCGAGAAATCGCTGGATTTGATCGAAGATGGGTCATTCACGAGCCTACGTCCGCGTCCTTGAGGTCCTTTACGTTTCGTCGGCGTCGCAACGTCGACTCAGCAATCGCGCACGTCGACGATTTTTTTCGAAACTGAAGAATTCCTGGCCACCGTTCGACCTGGTGAACAGCTGATCGTATCAACCTTGTCGACAAGCTGAGAGAGAGCCTCCTCGCTACACGACCCTCTAACTTAAATAAGGTAAGCAACTTTCCTCTTTTTTTCTTCTTCTTTATTGCTTGACAGTCTTTTATCACGTTCCTTTTTTGCTTTTTGTTTGTAGGACGCTCTTCCGGATCAGGTATGAGATCTTCTGGGATGATTATTTGGAATTTTTTGAAAATAACATTTTTTGGACTTTGATGGACTTTGTGGACACAGTTTACATTATTGTATTAATGTTAGATATGCTACATTAATTTTTATGAGAACTTTTAAGATATTGTACCTCTGTATATTATAATATTTATAAATACTGCAATACTTATATAATATAATATAGTGTTATATAGTTATATAGTAATGTATTTAAATAGTATTTTAAAATTTAGTACTATAATATACAGAGTAATTAATAGTACTATAGTTACATAATACTGTAACCTTCACTTCAGTTCACTTCTGCAGGGATGAATTTTTAAGGGTAGAAAAAGAATGATTCAATTTTACTCACTTCAAACTTGTAATAATTATAAAATAAATCCTAATAGTGGTCATGTAATAATATATACATATAATATGTAATAATCACAACACAATATGTAATAGAACAGCGACACATGTGTGGTGCATATCCACATATGTAATATACATAATACACTATGTAATAGAACAATCACACATGTGTGATGCGTATCAACATATGTGTGATATTCACACATATAATAATTTGTGAATGTATGACATGTACCATGTAATATAAAGATTACAATAATTGTATTATTTATTAATATGTTATATCACACATGTGGGGTACGTGTCCACATATGTGTGGATATCACACATATAATAATTTGTCAATGTATTACTTGTACCACATAATTTAAATACTACAACAATGTTATTATATTTTATTATATAACATTACACATGTGTGGTGTAAATCCACATATGTGGATACTATACATATGATAATTGAATGCATGAATTTACATTTAATTTATTAATGAATTTAGAAATAACTATCTTCCACAACACATATGTCCACAAAGTCTACTTTAAAGAATTAAGAATAATCAATATTTCCCTAGAATTATCACCACATTACTTGTACCATATATGTAATTTAAATATTAGAAATTTATTACTTTTTATTATATTACACTACCAGATTCTGTGACTATTATTAAAAATAAGGGTCCATAAAATATAGAATAATTACATCGTACAAAACAATACATTACACGCAATGTACGTATTATTCAACTCGGTGCACAGAAGCAAACTCCTAAGTGCATAAAGCACCGTATCCCACGCGATTCAGTTTGCCTTTGCAGGAAGTTCATCAAAGAGGACTAATAGTTTGCACTTTGTCACATATCGTAACTGATAATAATCTTCGAGCAGTAGCAGTAAGAAGTAAAATGGTTTAAGATTTATTCAACGTAATACAAGCTCGAAGAAAAACGAAATTGCTTGGTTCAGGATTTTCCGCAGTAACCCCTTTTATACATTGTCGCCCCCGGATATAATGAACTTCGTTCCCCCTTTTTATACCGATATTTCATCGGCCAAAACGCGAACGTCGCAATGTTTTTCCTTTGTTCACTGAATCAGTGCTTATAGGATGATCACCGTCACTTATTTCACATTATTATTGTTATCTCCGTTTAACGTGGGTGGTGAAGGTAATAAATGCATGAATAAATTTATACTTTCATAATAGTTCAACTTGTACTTGCGAAGTTTATATGTTTAATGGTATGGATTTATTTTATTATAAAGTTAGGTGTAATTAAGAAAAGACAGGATGGTTTTGAATATTATTGCAATTATATTGATAATGTTATTAACATATGATTTCCAGATTGCAAATAATTAATTATATATTACTGTAATATAGGATAGATTTGAATATCATTGTAATTATACTAATGATAGTAATTATTTACATAGCACTAGTTATAAATAATTAATATCAGCCTAATTAAATTTTCAGGAAACGAGAACAGGTGGCGCCATCTCTCCAAAAGGGTGAAGCTAGATGACATTTTCGGTTTAATTGAATTAATATAGTTAGTTTTATTAGTTTAATAGACTATAATATCAATCAAATTACTATGGAGTGCAAGACCAATTAATTTTGAATTATTTTGACTATGCCAACTGTTATCAATTTTTAACCATACTTAGATAAATCCAAATTAATCTCTTTCTTTATTATGTGCTGCCCTCTAGCGATAGAAGAAGAGAACTAATTAAACTGCAGTTTCAAAAGTGTGTAGTTCACCCTATTCACAGGAGAAATAGCGCCACATGTTCCATTTTTTTTAAAATTTAATTAATATTAATTTTATTAATTAATATCCCATATATTTATTATGTATTTATTTATATTCATTTTATATTGTTTGCAAAATATTCCGTGGGCCCTAAAATGTGGATTATGTATTCACAACAGCTTCCACTATACTATGCCTCATCGGCAATATAGAGAACAATACCAGAATGGTAAAAAATATATACCGGGTGTTTCGAATGTCATATAATTTATTCGTGACACTTCTCGTACAAATATACGCGTTATGTAAAATAGGATGATCTTATATCTCTTAAAACGTTTGCCTCAAACGAAATATGCTATATACAAAGAGTATTTCTTTAAAATCGGTGCATACTATTTGTGCGATTTGATATAAAAAGATTCGTTTCATGATCGTATGTACACATATTCTACAAACATTGCTTCGGGTCTTCAGCAAATTTTAATTACAACGATAAGCTTATATTTGTTCATAAGTAGCACTTTACTCAGCCTTGCAATTATTCCCTAGTCTTGAAATGCGATATTCGATGTTCCATCAAGTACGACACACTAACACACAGCCTAAATGACTTCTCTGACCATTTTATAAAAATACTCCTATGATTTCTTATAAATATTTTTAATGCGATGAAGAAACGTATACTTGGATGTGAACTAAATGAAATCAATTTTTGATTAAAAAAAAATGCAAGTTTTAAATATTCTATAAATAAATTATTTAAAAAAAGTCGATCAAAAGATACATTAGTGTTCATTACGAATCAGCAGCCATGTTCGTTGTAATATAAAACAATATCAACAATAAAAAACTATTGCTTCCTATCAATCTTCGAACTGAGCTTCGACAAAAATTCAGTTGCTTGATTGTCTCCTTTCCTTTGCTTCAGTGCTTGAATTGTTTCTGTATCTAAAAAGAACAAACAAAAATAAATAAATGAAGGAATAAGTCAATTGTAAAATGGATTCATGGTTGAAATATACAGGTGTTAACCCATTAGTTGGCGCAAGATTCAAAAAATCACGTGTGAGGCGTCCATTTTTCTGTTCTGACCAATCGTAGCTCTTCTAAACACGTCACCTCACACGCCAACTCATGGGTTGTCAGCGGTACATACTTCTACTCGTTGGTCGCGAAAGTTTCAGATGAATTTGGTCGAGAGTCTCTATTCCTTTATCTGGCCCAGTTTCAGGGACTTCACTGAAGGGTAAAAATGCCTCCGCCATGAACCTTGACCTCAGAAAGTCTTTGTCTTTTAATTCAAACGCTATTATGGCGTCCTCTGTTGATCTCTGCTCTGTGGTTAGAGGACTGGAAATTATAAAAACATTTCATACAAATTTCAATGTATTCCAGATTTAAAGTCTGAAGCTACTGTGTGTCTAATTATTATGAACCTAACTTGACATATTAACATAAATCAAGTTTTAACATAATATTGACATAAATCATTAATTTCTATCAATTTATGAAATACAACTAATACTCACATGTTGAAAACTTCATCAAACAGAGGATAAAGGTTTTCCTTTTGAACATGTGTTTTTGGAAGCTTCACATCGGTGAATTTCTCTTCAGGAAGAAGCCTCACCTTCACGTACGAGTCACATGCACCTAGAAAGAGGAGAGAATATATTTTCACAGCATTCTAGGTAATTACCAGAAGACCCCAGTGTGGAATCATGCACGGTGAACATATTCTATCTACGAGGTTCCACGATTTTGGATTTAGAGTAACAAATTGTGAAAGTATTTTTGAAGGATAGGTAATGTCGGAGAACCTGATAGATGCTTTGATATATCTTTGACAAGCTTCAATTTTCTGAGGTAAGAAAATTGTTTGCTAGATCTATTACAGTACATTGTACATTCAAGAGGTACAAATTAAAAGTGAGAATGCACAGTGGTTCCTTTTGTTGGTCTAGCAAGACTATTTTTAATTCAGGAGAGTATCGTTTGCAAATTATGGAAGTTTCTATTGTTTGAATTTTGGGATTTTGGAATTGTGAAGGTTGTAAGTTTTGTAAGCTACTAAATTATCTTTTTAGATCTCCAAATACTTATATCTGCAGATCTTTATAGTCTTAACTCCTCGCATCCCTCAATCCTCATATTCCCAAATTCTTACGTCTTTAAATTCTTTTATTCTCAAATACTCGCATGCCTAAATCCTTATCTTCTCAATTCCTCACGTACCCAATTTTCCATAATTTCAAGTCCCCACATGCCTATGTCTCCAAATTCTAAAATTCTTGCAACTCCAAATCCTCAAATTCCCAAATCCTCAAACTCCCAAATCCCCAAATCTTCAAATCCTCAAAATATTAAAAACTCAAATGACAGAATATATTATTAGTCTTGCCAGTGCCTTAAATCAGAACCATCGTGCCACATCATGCAAAAATCTGAGATTCTAAGAATCGCGAGGGCAAGCAACCAAATATGAGACATTCTACGTGTTTGGAACAATGATGAGGAAGAGCGTGTCTTTGCATCCACGTTTACATACTTGTCTTCCATTCTTTCAGTCTTTGTTTAGATTTTGTCTTTGTATGAAGCTTGCGCTTGAGAGTAGACACCTTGCCTACCAAATCGCCTACAAAATCGAAAGAAAATGTCATTCCCTTTATCGCGAATCACTCGCTCGTTCCCGTCATCGAGTCACGAAACAGGCAATTAAACGACATTAAACGAGCTACAAAAATTACATTCTTTCTAATTGAGACTTGAATTCCTTCTTTTAATTAGTCGTGCGATCTTTCATTTTATTACGTCTATGATATACGGGGTGATTCTTAATTCATACTCTTTTATCTGTGGTATGATGTAACTGAAGTATTCTTAGAAAGTTAATCTTAATTACTTTACTTAATGCTAGTGAGATATAATGTAATAAGAGAGATAAGATAATTTCATTCAGTAAATTTTAAATTATAGTTGCAATATTATTTCTAGCCATTTGTAGTAACTGTAATTTAATTAATTAATTTTTAAATTAATTTTAATACAACCTTCTAATAATTTTAATTTAATTAATCAATATTAAAAGTGCTTTTAATATAACCTTCTAATAAGTCTGATTTAATTAATCGATACTTAAATTAATTTTAATACAATCTTCTAATAACTTTGATTTAATTAATCAATATTTGGATCAATTTTAATACAACCTTCTAATAACTTTGATTCAACCAATTAAAATTGAAATTGAATTCTAAACTATAACTTCCATTTATCTACTCATTTTTAAAAATACAGAATCACCCCGTAAAAAATAAAAATTAACTATAAATTAAAATCATGTTCGCAGCAAATCATGCGATTTCTAAATCAAGTATTTTCATATATTATCATATTTATATTTACAATTCGTTTCTTACCATTGCTATCAATAGGTCGCAGCTTCCTAGCATTCAAGATCTGAATATTCAAAGAATTGTCCACAAATTGCGCCTTGATAGTTAGCTGCCCGTGTTCAGACTCCTCCATCTCGTTCTGTTCCTTCAATCTTTCCTGATGATAACGATGTATCAATTCGGCGGTTTCCAAACCGTGTAACTCCAAAAGGTGTTCAATCTTCTCTAAAACTTTCACGTTCGCCGCTTCATCTGCTCCCACGTTGAAAAATCGGATGAGGGTGTGGAGAGTTCGGTGCAGGTTCGAGTAGAACGATGGCGGTCTTCTTTTCTGTAGAAACAAGTAGAATTAGAATTTTCTGTAGAAACAATTAGAATTAGAATTTTCTGTAGAAACAATTAGAATTAAAATTTTCTGTAGAAACAATTTTAAAGTTATTATTATTTAAAAGGATCGTAGATAAATTTAATTAGGTTTAGATTATTTTAACGAGGAATTCTTAGGTACCTCTAAATTACTATTCACTAATTGGTACAGCGTCTCTGACATGATCTCCCAAATCACAAGAAGCACTCTCTCAAAGTTGTCTTCATTTAAGTTGTCGTGCAAGGTTGTTAAATTACTGTCTAAATATTGTAGGAGCCGATCCATGGCGTTGCTTGTGGTGTCTATTAACTCTGCACCCTCCATTAGGTACCTAAATTATAAATTATATTTTATAATTTCATTATTATTGTCTTTGGAGAATAATTCTGTTCCTACAAAAATTTGGCTCATATCTAAAATGCAAATATCATTCAATTTGTTTAACTTTTTCAGTAATTAATTAATTCTTACTATATTTTGTTGTCAATGCTAAGATCACATGGTAGAAATAATGTACTCAACATTTATAAAATAGTGTACTTAAGAAATTGCAAAATAATGTGCTTAAATAATTGCAAAGCAATAGACTTAAATAACTGCAAAATAATATACTTAAATAATTGCAAAATAATATACCTAAATAATTGCAAAATAATATACCTAAATAATTGCAGAATAATAAATTTAAATAACTGCAAAATAATAAACTTAAATAATTGCAAAATAATATGCCTAAATAATTGTAGAATAATATACTTAAAAAATTGCAAAATAATATACTTAAAAAATTGCAAAATAATATACTTAAATAATTGCAAAATAATATACCTAAACAGTCACAAAATAATATATCTAAACAATCACAAAATAATATACCCAAACAATCACAAAATAATATTCCTAAACAACCACAAAATATACTTAACAAACAAGACACTCCAACCGCCATCTTTCCAAGAATAATTATCCAATTACCCACCAATTAATCAATCATTCAATTACCTGTTCATCGCAGGGGCCATTTTGTTGGCGACCACTTGCAGCAGTTCAATGATCTTGTTCTTCACTGTGTCAGTAGCGTTGTCAATGATCAATTGCAACGTTTGTCTACACCTTTCAGCTTCCTCCTGTGTCCTCTTCTCAGCTAGCATATCAACGATGTTTTTCAGTCCAAGATCGTTAGCCAACGGCCCGATCGATGTTCTAATATAATCGATATTGTTGATCGCAAAACACCACGCTGTCGATACGAAGAATTTCTTGTCGTACACGCTGCTCTCTGAGAGCTGCTCGAGTTCTGTCGTCAGCTCTGCTTTTTTCGCCATTTTGTCCGCGTAGGCGATCGAGCATTTACAGATATCCTGTGAAATTGAGAGATTATGGGTTTTGTTGTTTGAGATTTGGGGTTTGAAGGTGAGGGATTGGGGTTTTGGGACTTATTGGGACTTATTGGGAGTATTTGGGACTTTTTGGGAGTATTTGGGACTTATTGAGCGCATTGGAGACTTATTGCGAATATTTGGGACTTATTGGGAGTACTTGGGACTTATTGGGAGTATTTGGGACTTATTGGAAGTATTTAGGACTTATTGAGATATTGACTCTTTCTGAGATATTGGGACTCTTTGAGGTATTAGGATTTTGAGAGACTTCTTGGGACTTTTAGAGATATTGGGACTTTGAGACTTTGGGATTTGAAGATGTTAAAGATTCTGGAATTTTGGGATTTTGAGATACTGGAACATTCCAATTTTGGGACTTTAAAACTTCAGAAATTTGAGGTATTGGAACTTTAGAATTTTGGGGCCTTGAGACCTTGGAATTTGGAAATATTAGGATTTTAGAATTTGGTTAATTTGATACCTTGCCAGTTTGAGATATTTGAGTTTTAGAATTTAGGAGATTTGAGATATTGGGATTTTGGAATTTTGGGACTTAGAAACCTTACACCTCTAGGACTCTTGAGACCTCTTGAGACTTTTCAAGATTATAAATTTTGTGAACTTTGGGTCCATATTATAGTTGAATAACCTTTGCTCTGAGCTTGCAAAAATGTTAAAACTTGACCCTACAAGAGTCCTGCTTACACCTTACGTCTCTAGGACCTCGATACTTTTCAAACTTATAAATTTTGTTAACTTTGGGTCCATATTGTAGAACCTCTGCTTTGAGCTCACAAATATGATAAAACTCGAACATACAAGAGTGCTTGTACCAAATAGTGCTTGTAAAATATCTAAGAAATAACATGTGGAAGATTCTCAAGAGCAAAATTACGTCACCTCGAAACCCTCTATAACTCACATCTATAATTTTGGCTATGAAGGTATAAGATCCTTCTATGTCAGGCCACGCCAGCTGCGTCCAGAACACTTTGATTTGATAGAATATCGTCAAGGTATCAACCGCACTCGAGCTATATTGAACTGTGTTATCCACCGCTTGCAACGTATCGAATTCCACGGCTCTGTCTATTCGTTTCAGAGCCTTGTACACTGCTATGTCTAACCAGTGGGCTACGCCAGCTCTGAACCACTCGTGGTAGCTTTGGACCTTCATGCCTTCCAGCTGTCCTTCTGCGCAGAGCACTTCGCCAACCCTGAAGACAAAATGTTCCTCTGTCAAATTGTTATAAACTTGGTAATCATAGTTATTAATGTTCACTGTTGAGGTGAGAGTTAACAGAGATAGAAATAGTTAACAGAGCGGTGAGAAAGTACCAGTAAAGTAAAATGACCATTTTACAAATTTTCTAACTCAAGTTTCAAAATTTAAAATGGTCTTCGAAGATGAACATATTTGATTTTCTTGGAGATAGAGAGTTGATATGTTAACTTCAAAGTGTGTAAGAATTGTAGGTTTAGGCTAAAGTACCAAGGTTATTCACATCTCAGACACATCTCAGACCCTAAAGGTACCTTTGGTCCAGATAGCATAACTCTGCCCAGGATTATTTGCAAAGGATTATCTTTATCAGAATTATTCTAATTATTCTACTTTCTTGCTCTACAAGTTCCTGTGTGAAGATAGATGACAATATCTAAGAAAACATTTGGACCTAGTAATAGAACCACCATTCCAAAAATGTCAAACTCAGAACTTTATCTCCAGACCGAAGTTATACCAGCTAGACCAAAGTTACCTAACCTAAATAAGTAACTTAAATAAGTTACCTAACCATATTTAACTCTCCTACATTCACATTAAATTCTAACATACATGGCGTATCTCTGCAACGCAAGATAAAGCTCGAACAAAGTAGTCCCTAAATTCAGCTCCACATCGGTGTTCTCGATCTCGATCCTCTTCAACCTGCCACAAACGTCCTCAATGATGACCATGCACATATCGCTGATCCTCTTCTCGTACATCATGTAGAGGCACCTCGCGTATGGGAAGTTGATTCGTCTGAAGTTTAAATTAATTTTAAAAGCTTGCATAGAGATTGTGGATAGAGAAGATCATTTTCTGGTTTCTTACTTGATGAATAGCTTGTCATAATTATCGAGGGCATTTTGTAGATCCGCTCTTACTAGTTGTATCACTTTTATGTGGTACTTTAGGTGGTCCTCGTCTGATTCGCTTTCTGTGGAATTGTTATTTAGGATGTGCTCGAACCTGGGACAAAATGTATACATTTATTAATTTTATGTTTTTTTTCACTTGCTTGCAAGCTTATATTAAGGCTGTATGTTAATTTCAAGCTTCAGATGTTGCTTAATTAGACTTAGGTTTATAGATTATAACAGTTGGAGTGATCAACTTCAGCTTCTGAAGAGTAGTCATTTAGTTTGATGGATGTTTGAAGATATCTGAAGGTATTGGAAGATGTTAGAAGGAGTTTGAAGGTGTCTGACGGTGTTGGAAGATGTTTGAAGGAGTTTGAAGGTCTTTGAAGGTTTTTGAAGATGTCTGAAGGTGTTTGAAAGACTTTGAAGGTCTTTGAAGATGTTAGAAGGAGTTTGAAAGTGTCTGACGGTGTTGGAAGGTGTTTGAAGGAGTTTGAAGGTCTTTGAAGATGTCTGAAGGTGTTGGAAGGTGTTGGAAAGTGATTGAAGCAGTTTGAAGTTCTTTGAAGATGTTTGAAGATGTCTGAAGGTGTTTGAAGGAGTTTGAAGATGTCTGAAGGTATTGGAAGGTGATTGAAGGTGTTTGAAATTGTTTGAAAGTGTATGAAGGTGTTTGAACCTGTTTGAAAGCATATGAAGGTATCTGACCTTCTCCAAAAGTGTCAAACATTATCATAATAATACACTGCTCAAAAGAAATATGGCATAGAAAAAATTTAGGCAAAAATTGGCCAAATTTGACCGATGATAACTCCGTGAAAAATCATCGCAAAGTTATGCTCTTTTTTTTAAATTAAAGCTTGAGATCTCTACTTTAAGACCCTGTAGTTTGATTTTAGATTTGATACATCCCTACCACAATAACACCGTAAATGTGAGGTCATGTTTGCAATATTGAAAATTACAAAGTTTGACGAAATGCATGGACTTGCCACATTTTTTTGGGGCGATACTGTTTACAGCAGCATAAAGTACAAACCTTTATCTTTAATTTCCGGTATGTGAAAAACCGCTACCATTTTTTTCTGCAAAGATACAGAACTTCATCATATGCCTCTGACAAGAGCCTTTCTTTGTGTGTATTTGTGTGTGAGTATCTGTGTGTCTGTATGTTTGAATTCTAATAACGCGTGTTTCCACCGCGTTGTTGAATTATCCCTTGCAGTCGATTACTCATGTTAATGCAAGCCCTAATTTCTTCCTGTGGAATGTCATTCCAAATTTCAGTTAAGACTTGCGATAGATCTTACAGATTGGTAGGTTGTCTTGTTAAATTTCTATAGGGTTCAAATTTGGACTTACTGCAGAATATGGAAGCAATCAAATTGAATTGGGACTGCAAAATTCGAGAATGATTCTCAACGAGGCTTCTCGACGATAATTCATACACACACACAGATTCTCATACACAAATACACATAGAAAAGGCTCCTGTCAGAGCCATATAATGTGCAAAATCTGTCCAGCAACTTCTCCGACCTGCACATCGGGTAATCCTAATGGCGGCGGTATATGCCATAAATGCAAGGGTTTCTTTAAAGTTCTGTATCTTTGCAGAAAAAAATGGTAGCGGTTTTTCACATA